TATTTTTTAAAATTAACCGAATTGAAATGATCATTATAGATCTATTTGTGTGATAGGTCTATGATTTATTTTCTGAATAATCCAAAATCTATATAATAGACATACCACACCTCTCGAATTTATCCTGCTCAGTCCGATTCGTCCACCTTCGAATCAGAAAAGTTCAAGTATTTTTTAAATTAACCGAATTGAAATGATCATTATAGATCTATATGTGTGATAGGTTTATGATTTATTTTCTGAATAATCCAAAATCTATATAATAGACATACCACACCTCTCGAATTTATCCTGCTCATTCCGATTTGTCCAACTTCGAATCAGAAAAGTTCAAGTATTTTTTAAAATTAACCGAATTGAAATGATCATTATAGAACTATTTGTGTGATAGGTCTATGATTTATTTTCTGAATAATCCAAAATCTATATAATAGACATACCACACCTCTCGAATTTATCCTGCTCATTCCGATTCGTCCACCTTCGAATCAGAAAAGTTCAAGTATTTTTTAAAATTAACCGAATTGAAATGATCATTATAGATCTATATGTGTGATAGGTCTATGATTTATTTTCTGAATAATCCAAAATCTATATAATAGACATACCACACCTCTCGAATTTATCCTGCTCATTCCGATTCGTCCAACTTCGAATCAGAAAAGTTCAAGTATTTTTTAAAATTAACCGAATTGAAATGATCATTATAGATCTATTTGTGTGATAGGTCTATGATTTATTTTCTGAATAATCCAAAATCTATATAATAGACATACCACACCTCTCGAATTTATCCTGCTCAGTCCGATTCGTCCACCTTCGAATCAGAAAAGTTCAAGTATTTTTTAAATTAACCGAATTGAAATGATCATTATAGATCTATATGTGTGATAGGTTTATGATTTATTTTCTGAATAATCCAAAATCTATATAATAGACATACCACACCTCTCGAATTTATCCTGCTCATTCCGATTCGTCCACCTTCGAATCAGAAAAGTTCAAGTATTTTTTAAAATTAACCGAATTGAAATGATCATTATAGATCTATTTGTGTGATAGGTCTATGATTTATTTTCTGAATAATCCAAAATCTATATAATAGACATACCACACCTCTCGAATTTATCCTGCTCAGTCCGATTCGTCCACCTTCGAATCAGAAAAGTTCAAGTATTTTTTAAATTAACCGAATTGAAATGATCATTATAGATCTATATGTGTGATAGGTTTATGATTTATTTTCTGAATAATCCAAAATCTATATAATAGACATACCACACCTCTCGAATTTATCCTGCTCATTCCGATTCGTCCAACTTCGAATCAGAAAAGTTCAAGTATTTTTTAAAATTAACCGAATTGAAATGATCATTATAGATCTATATGTGTGATAGGTCTATGATTTATTTTCTGAATAATCCAAAATCTATATAATAGACATACCACACCTCTCGAATTTATCCTGCTCATTCCGATTCGTCCAACTTCGAATCAGAAAAGTTCAAGTATTTTTTAAAATTAACCGAATTGAAATGATCATTATAGAACTATTTGTGTGATAGGTCTATGATTTATTTTCTGAATAATCCAAAATCTATATAATAGACATACCACACCTCTCGAATTTATCCTGCTCATTCCGATTCGTCCACCTTCGAATCAGAAAAGTTCAAGTATTTTTTAAAATTAACCGAATTGAAATGATCATTATAGATCTATATGTGTGATAGGTTTATGATTTATTTTCTGAATAATCCAAAATCTATATAATAGACATACCACACCTCTCGAATTTATCCTGCTCATTCCGATTCGTCCACCTTCGAATCAGAAAAGTTCAAGTATTTTTTAAAATTAACCGAATTGAAATGATCATTATAGATCTATTTGTGTGATAGGTCTATGATTTATTTTCTGAATAATCCAAAATCTATATAATAGACATACCACACCTCTCGAATTTATCCTGCTCAGTCCGATTCGTCCACCTTCGAATCAGAAAAGTTCAAGTATTTTTTAAATTAACCGAATTGAAATGATCATTATAGATCTATATGTGTGATAGGTTTATGATTTATTTTCTGAATAATCCAAAATCTATATAATAGACATACCACACCTCTCGAATTTATCCTGCTCATTCCGATTCGTCCACCTTCGAATCAGAAAAGTTCAAGTATTTTTTTAAATTAACCGAATTGAAATGATCATTATAGATCTATATGTGTGATAGGTCTATGATTTATTTTCTGAATAATCCAAAATCTATATAATAGACATACCACACCTCTCGAATTTATCCTGCTCAGTCCGATTCGTCCACCTTCGAATCAGAAAAGTTCAAGTATTTTTTAAATTAACCGAATTGAAATGATCATTATAGATCTATATGTGTGATAGGTTTATGATTTATTTTCTGAATAATCCAAAATCTATATAATAGACATACCACACCTCTCGAATTTATCCTGCTCAGTCCGATTCGTCCACCTTCGAATCAGAAAAGTTCAAGTATTTTTTAAATTAACCGAATTGAAATGATCATTATAGATCTATTTGTGTGATAGGTCTATGATTTATTTTCTGAATAATCCAAAATCTATATAATAGACATACCACACCTCTCGAATTTATCCTGCTCAGTCCGATTCGTCCACCTTCGAATCAGAAAAGTTCAAGTATTTTTTAAATTAACCGAATTGAAATGATCATTATAGATCTATATGTGTGATAGGTCTATGATTTATTTTCTGAATAATCCAAAATCTATATAATAGACATACCACACCTCTCGAATTTATCCTGCTCAGTCCGATTCGTCCACCTTCGAATCAGAAAAGTTCAAGTATTTTTTAAATTAACCGAATTGAAATGATCATTATAGATCTATATGTGTGATAGGTTTATGATTTATTTTCTGAATAATCCAAAATCTATATAATAGACATACCACACCTCTCGAATTTATCCTGCTCAGTCCGATTCGTCCACCTTCGAATCAGAAAAGTTCAAGTATTTTTTAAAATTAACCGAATTGAAATGATCATTATAGAACTATTTGTGTGATAGGTCTATGATTTATTTTCTGAATAATCCAAAATCTATATAATAGACATACCACACCTCTCGAATTTATCCTGCTCAGTCCGATTCGTCCACCTTCGAATCAGAAAAGTTCAAGTATTTTTTAAATTAACCGAATTGAAATGATCATTATAGATCTATATGTGTGATAGGTCTATGATTTATTTTCTGAATAATCCAAAATCTATATAATAGACATACCACACCTCTCGAATTTATCCTGCTCAGTCCGATTCGTCCACCTTCGAATCAGAAAAGTTCAAGTATTTTTTAAAATTAACCGAATTGAAATGATCATTATAGAACTATTTGTGTGATAGGTCTATGATTTATTTTCTGAATAATCCAAAATCTATATAATAGACATACCACACCTCTCGAATTTATCCTGCTCAGTCCGATTCGTCCACCTTCGAATCAGAAAAGTTCAAGTATTTTTTAAATTAACCGAATTGAAATGATCATTATAGATCTATATGTGTGATAGGTCTATGATTTATTTTCTGAATAATCCAAAATCTATATAATAGACATACCACACCTCTCGAATTTATCCTGCTCAGTCCGATTCGTCCACCTTCGAATCAGAAAAGTTCAAGTATTTTTTAAATTAACCGAATTGAAATGATCATTATAGATCTATATGTGTGATAGGTTTATGATTTATTTTCTGAATAATCCAAAATCTATATAATAGACATACCACACCTCTCGAATTTATCCTGCTCAGTCCGATTCGTCCACCTTCGAATCAGAAAAGTTCAAGTATTTTTTAAATTAACCGAATTGAAATGATCATTATAGATCTATATGTGTGATAGGTTTATGATTTATTTTCTGAATAATCCAAAATCTATATAATAGACATACCACACCTCTCGAATTTATCCTGCTCAGTCCGATTCGTCCACCTTCGAATCAGAAAAGTTCAAGTATTTTATTAAATTGACCGAATTGAAATGATCATTATAGATCTATATGTGTGATAGGTCTATGATGATGACGAATCGGACTGAGCAGGATAAATTCGAGAGGTGTGGTATGTCTATTATATAGATTTTGGATTATTCAGAAAATAAATTATAGACCTATCACACAAATAGATCTATAATGATCATTTCTATTTGGCCAATTTCAGTCGCTAAGAGAGTCATTGTGAAATTGGCCGAATAGAAATGATCGTTATAGATCTATGTGTGTGATAGGTCTATTGTGTAGATTTTGGATATTTAAATAAATCATAGACTAATATAGATCTATAATGATCATTCCAATTCGGACAATATAGATCTATAATGATCATTCCAATTCGGACAATCACGAATTAGAAAAATTCAAGTATTTTCTGAAATATATCGGATTAAAAAGAACATTATATTGAGTGTTACTCTCCCATCTAACTTCCTAAAAATTTTTCAAATTTTGAGAAACAATACATAATCTATAATTTACTTCCTTAAGCTGGAAAGGGCATTTCCTTTTCCAATTTCAATAATAGTTACTAGAATTAGATATCCGTAAATGTTGCTTGATTCTATCCAGTGCTTCGTAATTTTGGATTAGCTCGTACTCCTTATCTTTATCCAACGGATTTTGGTACGAGTTGCAGAGCACTGGTTCTATCTTAGTTTTACATTATTTTTATTCTTAATTGAGATTAAAATTGCTTTTCCTCCTCCCTTTTTAATTTAAACGCATTTACCTATTCCACAACTCCCCCACAATTAATAATAAATTTTGAGTAAAAAAATTTTTTTAATTGAAGTTTTCCCCTTTTTCAGGGCTGTTTGAGAAACATTCATTTAAATTCCCTTCCTCCACTTACTTTTGTAGACAACAACCATTTAATTTCAATTCCCCATTTTTTACTTGAACAAAAAACAAATTTAAAAAGTTGTAAAGGTTTATGTCAATCTGTAGATTTGTGTAAATTTAATAATTGTTTAAATGGTGGAAAGTGTGAGGATATTTTTAATGAGATTAAATGTAATTGCCCGTTGGGGTTTGATGGAAAATATTGCCAAGTTTGGATAATTGTTGTTAAATTAATAAGTAAATTATTTAAAGATTCAAATAAATGAATGTGAAACGATGAATGGAAATTTGGAATGTTTACCCAATGGGCAGTGTGTTGATGATGTAAAATTTAATTTTTTGATTTATTTTCTATAGTTAATCTCATTCATGTTTACCATGGATCAAGTTGACATAAAAAATAGATTCGGGGATCATAGATCTTAAAACAATTCGGGAATCTTAAAACATACCAAACGCTAAAATTGGCCAAAAATGGACGGCAGAATTAAAAACCCCTATTTGCATTTTAAGGTTTAATGGAAATTTTGGGCTGGAAAACGAAATAGAACCTAAAGAAATATTTATTGGAGTGGTTAATCAAAAAATTCTTGTCGTTTTATTCTAGAAAGTTTTTATTCTAGAAATTATTTTTCAGAAAATTTATATTCAATTTTCTTTAAAATTCATTCAAAATTCACTTCTTGTTGACAAAAATAATTCTTAACATTTTTAAAGATTAATGGTTTTCATTGTCAATGTTTACCAGGCTTTACAGGTCCAAAATGTAAAGAAATATTAAATTTAAACCAAAATAAATGTCAAAACAATACTTGTAATAATAATGGAGATTGTTTGGAATATTCAAATAATTCTACTTTTAAATGTAAATGTACTAATACTAAATTTGTTGGAAAATATTGTCAAATTGATAAAAATAAAATTAATTGTGTAGATAATAATCCTTGTGAAAATGGAGGTAAATGCTTTGAAAAAGAAGGAAGAGGAAATGTTTGTTTTGTTATTTAAATTTATATTTAATATATTGAAGATTAAAAATTTTAAAGAATATTTTTGGCAACAGAATAGCGCGACTCGGATTTTAGATAAAAAAGAAAGCAAGAAAAATTGCCTCTAACTTCTGCCTCTAACCCTTAAATCGAATATTTTCTGATAAACTTACTGGGTACCTGGACAAAACTTTAGATAATAAAATTTTTTCTCGATTCCAGTCCGTGGAAGAGAGACTAATAATTAAAAGAAAATTTCGATATTAGCCTTGCCACTTTTGTTTCGTTATATTTAGGGTTGTTGGAATTTTCAGTTTAGGGGTCACAAATTAATTGTTTATGTCCTCCAAACTATTATTTTCGATAACCTTGATAGGCTTAATTATTTCTATTGTTGAATAACAAATATTTAATTAAAAATATTTAAATTATTTTAAAATTATTTTTAGGGGCAAATTAATTGTTTATGTCCCCCAAACTATTCCGGCCAATTTTGTGAAGATTATACCGATCCTTGTAGCGAACTGCCCTGTCTAAATGGTGGAAGATGTATTAATATTCCATCATCAGCTAATTTTCGTTGTGAATGCCCGAAAGAATTTTCTGGAAAATTTTGTGAAGATTTTAAGGATTATTGTGGGAATAGTAAGCAGGGATTTGATGGTAATACTAATGCTTCTTTTTGTTCTGGACATGGAATATGTGAGAATATTTGGGGAGGATATAGGTAGGAACTTGTTTATTTGGTTTATTCTTTTACTCGCCTAGGACAATCAGAAATCTGGTTTCCGACATTTTATTCCCTGATTTTAGACATCATTGGAATTTTCGATGGTCTCTCTCTTTTCAAGAGCAAATGCGGATTACGGATTTTAATCCCCAGTTTTTCGATTGCGGACAAGCCTTTTGTTCACCCTTATCCTACAACACAGAGTTTTACTCAACCTGATTTTTATCCACAAAATTAATATCCGAATATACTATAAATCGAAAATAATTTCACATAATATTTAAAGATGTATTTGTAATGAAGGATGGCGTGGTCCTAACTGTTCATCCCAAGTTGATGTTTGTACAGAAGAATTACCCTGTTTAAATGAAGGAAGGTGTATTCTGTTAGATAATGAGGGAAAAAATAATTCGACTCAATCAACATTTAGCTGTGAATGTCCAGACTATTTCGAAGGCGAACGCTGTGAGATAGCTGGAACTTGTTCAAAAAGTAAAATAATAAATTAAAATTTTGATTAATTTGCTGATCTATGCCTGCCTTTATTAAACTTAAAATTTAAAGATCCCTGCCTTAACAACGGTCAATGTATACAAAAAAACATATCAACACACCAATGCGAATGCCCACCAGGATTTTGGGGGTTATCATGTGAAAAACGTTTAGACTTTTGTTTGGGAGACCCTTGCATGAATGGAGGGACTTGTATTTCCAAAACTAATGGTTTTGAATGTTCTTGTATTGCTGGATTTGTTGGAGAGAAATGTGAAATTGATGTAGATGAATGCGAGGAAGCTTTGAAAACTTTAAATAAAAATGGGACAAATGTTGATATTAAAATATGTGGAGTAGGAAGATGTGTGGATAAAGTAAATGGGTTCGAATGTGATTGTAGTGGAACTGGATATTCGGTATGAGTTGGTGATAAAAAATTGTTGGTTATAATCCTCTATAAAACCTAAAACAGATTTTAATAGAATTACTATTTAGCTAGTATGTTTCAGATTTTTCACGATTTCCGTAGTATTTCGAAACAAGATATTGATAGTTACATTTGGCGGTTTCAATCCGATCTGATCCTAAACCTGTTTCAGTATAAGGGAAGTTCATTTATATGGAGACAGATATTAACGTATGTAGGTATATTGATATTTGTAACGTTTTCTTGATTAGATTAATTAGTTCAAAAGAATCTAAAAAATGGGTATTCTTTTGAAATTAAAGGGTTCTTATTGCGAATTTGATATTGATGAATGTGAAACTAATTCCTCCTCTTCGATTTGCCAAAACAATGGAACTTGCCATAATTGGCCAGGAACTTTTAAATGTGAATGTAAATTAGGTTGTTAATTCGGCAAAAGATTTACATAAAAAACATTTTTTATCAGGCTTTATTGGCATTCATTGCCAACTCCCCAACCTTTGCCATCCCGATCCCAATTTAAACCAAACACTTCATAATTGTGTTCATGGTCGTTGTGTCCGTCCTCATGTACTGTTAGGTGTCGATGGGCATGAAGTAACGATTAAAAATATTTTTAAAAATTGAAAATATATATTTAAAGTATTCAACTCATGATTGTGAATGTATGGCTGGTTATACTGGAGATTTATGCATGCGCTTAGTATGTTTATTTAAGTTATAGGGGAGTCTATATAACATCACACCTCTGGCCGAATTTAACTAACTTAAGAAAGCAAGTGGGAGGGGCGACGTTATTGAGAGCTTCCATTGTACGCTAATTTGGTACCAGAGGTCGATCTGAAATGAAGAAGGTGCCGAAAACGGAACTGTCGGAAATCGGAAATGGCTCAAAAGTTGGAACTCGGAAATCAGCCCAAAATTTCGGAAATCGGTAGGAAAAAAATACGTCGGAAGTCGGAAATCGGAATTCCGATCGACCTCTGTTTTGCACTACAGAGGGGACCGTAGCGTAATTTCTATGGACGTTTTTTAAATTATATTAAAATAAATTTAAATTAGTCCACCAAAAAATGTTAACATAAATGACATTTGCTTTCTAATTATTGCCATGACATAAACAAAATTAAAATTTCCACCAAAATTTTTTCAGATAGAATCACAACAACAGTCAATATCTTTATACAGCTTTATAGCCTTAGGAGTTGTTATAATCGTGTTGTGTATAGCTTTGGGTTTATTATTAAATTTTTTTATTGTTTGTACAAAAAGAAAACGAGCAAATCAGGGAACTTATAGGTACATTTAAAAATAAAAATAATTTTAAAAAATAATTTAAAAGTCCCTCAACACAAGAAATGACTGGAAATGCCAGATTTTTTATTACTACAAATAATCAGCAAAAATTAAATAAAAATAAACAAAAAATCCAATTATCTAAAAGAAAAACTTAGAAAAAGAGGAGAGAATTATTTAAATATTTTTGATAATTAAAATAATTTTTAAAAAATAATACGGGTAATTTTTTAGATAAATAAATATTTAATAGAATAATTTATTTAAAAATTTGTTCGCTATATTGTTTTATTGTAATGTAATATCTATTTACTTAGCTGAACTTTTAGAAAAAAATTTTATTTCTTTTACTTTTATAAGCAATGAATAAAATTTACACAGACAACCCTGAATAACCGGGAACTCTAGTAAATGGCAAATAAAAATTCAAAACAAATCTTTAAATATGTATAATAGCATGATATTTTACGAAAAATATTAATCATAAAAATATTCATTCTTTTCTAATTAATATATTAATAAATTAAATTACTTTTTTTAAAAATTAATTAAAAAAATTAATCACTTTTTTAAACTTTTGGTTGATAAAACGCAACTCAATATATTAGCTATTTAGAATATCCAAAAAGGTTTTTAGTTTTTTCAGTAAAGTCTTCGAAAATTTCAATTTCGAACATAGCTAACATCTAAATTAGTATATGCAATCAAGGTTGAACGTTTTGTTCTTCCCTTTTTTCTATTAAAATTTTAGTCTCACAAATTGGGCATTTACTTACCTAGAAAATAAATTTATTGAAAAAATTTTTAAATGTTAAAATAAATTATTTTTAATTAAAAAATTAAATTTTAAATTACAATAGGGCCTCCATAAGGCCATTTCTTTGTCTCAGCGTTTAAATTTTTTTCGTTACACCTATTTAAGATTAAATTAATTTTTTAAATTAAATTTAATTAATTACCATTCTTTAATGCATTCTTTATGAAATACATGCTGAAAAATATTTAAATTATGTTTAAATTAAAAATTATTTTAAAAAAAACATTGCAATCAGTTATTTGTTGAAGTGCTTTATATTCCTTTTTGTCAATTAAATTTTGATGACAAATTGAACATTTATCATTTTTCATCAGAAATTTATCAATAATTTTAAAATCTTTTACATTTGAAACTAAATATTTTAATTTAAAAAATTATGAATATTTTCCGTACATCTTAAAAAACCTAGTACCACCCCTATTTTTAGCCTTGTACTTCGTACCAAGTACAAGTACGAAATTTTGGCAGGGTGTCCAAGTACTGCTCATTTACATTAGTTGCCCATTAAAAAAGAAAAACATCAAGTAATTTTTACTATTAAAAACTATCCAAACCTTTATATGGAAATTCAGTCAAAAAGAAAAAATCTTTCGTTAATATAGGCAATAATTGATATTTGTAACTAAAAATATTCAAAATTAAATTTTTTAATAGAATAGTATATATTTTTATTTTGAAATTACTTTAATGTGAAAGCTAAGTAAATTTTGAGGGACATACATACTATAAATAAATACCTTCCTATAATAATTGCCCTCCATTTTCTATTAAAAATCTGTGTTATAACAAGAAACTAAGGAAGAATTTTTGGATTTTAAATAAAATTGAAAATTTTAATTAAAATAAAAAAATAATTTAGTGTGATGATGCACAGACTCAAATGACTTTAATTTTAATTTAAATAAATAAATGACATTTTATCCCATTTATGTTCCTATAAAAGAAAATTCTCTCTCCCCAAATTCGTTCAGTTGTTCATTCGTTCATTCTATTAAGTTTGTGCTTTGAGTGTTCCCTTCCCCTTTTTATTTATTCGTATAATTTTTGTGGAAAATTGTATTGCCCCTTTAATTTAAATAAATATTACTTCGTCTTCAGACTTGAATTGATTTAAAGAAGTGTTAAAATAAAAAGAAGTTTAAGAGAAACAATTTTATTTCCCACGTGGCGCTCCTGTGGAAGAAAAATTTTCTAAAATTTTTCAACGGTCTCGAGATCGACTTTGAATTTTTTTTATTTGAAGGCTCTAGGCGAGCAACAACAAATTTTTATTTTTTGAATTTAAAGCTCTAGGCGAGCATCTACAGCTCTAGGCGAGCTTCGACTCAAAAATTTTTTTTAATTTTAGAAAGTTTTGTGAAAAACTTTAATTTAATTTTTTTCAACAAAAAACCCTAGGCGGGTGAAAAATCGATTTTTTTGAATCTGCAAAAGACCCTAGGCGGGTATAAAAAGAAACAGACAAGAAAGAGAAAATTTTTAATCTCTTTGACCTTGGCAGGCAATCGATTCAATTGCTGCAAAGAAATTGACACTACAAAGACCCTAGGCGGGCACAATTTTGAAAATTGTTTGAATTGATTTTTGTTTTGTGACTCATCAAAAGCTCTAGGCGAGCATAAACAAAATTGTAATCGATAGATAAATTGAATGATAACCCGTTCTCCTGTTTTAACAAGAAGTAGGGCAAAGGATAAAGCTATAGAGAGAGAAGCTTCTGAAAATCAAACTTCTATTGAAAATTCAGGAATGGACGATATTCTTGATGAAAGTGAAAGGGGAGAAAATGTTATGAGAACTAACGAAACTCAAACCACGCCAGTACACACGGCACGGAACGTTTGTTTTCCTTTCCAGATTCCGAATATGCCTGTTATGACTCAGCAGTTTGCAAATCAGCAAATGTATACACAATTTCCAAATTGTCAAATTCCTATGTTAATGCCCATGTATCCCCAACAGTTCATGCAGTATTCGCAAATTCCAACGAATAACTCGCAAAATTTTCCACCTCAAATGAACAATATTCACCAAGCTCAGCCTCAACAGAATTTCCAACAGTCTGTTACACAAGTGGCACAGCCACCAATCAATAATGAAAGCAGTCAAAGACCTACAACTGATTTCGCTGGGTTCATGCACAGTTTTGATAGAATGTCTCTGTCGTGGGCACTAGACAAAATTCCAGATTTGAAAGGTCCTGAAGGTGTCGATCAAATTAAGACATTCTTCAAAAAATTTGACTCTGCTACTGAAGGGATATCAGATGTTGTCCGATTAAAAGCTTTGGAGTCTAAAATCAGCGGAAGAGCGGAACGAGCTTTTAATACTGCGTTAGGAAATTGTCCGTTTATTTATTCATCAGTTCGACGCGAAATGCTTCGCATTCTCGAAACAACAGACACAAAAGAAATTTGTGCGTTCGACGAACTCATGTCTGGTGTTAAGAGGCGTGAGAATGAAAATATTGATTCACTGGCTAATAGAATTGCATCTTTAGTAAAACGAGCTTATCCAGGGATGACAAATAATTTATTAGATGAGTATTCGATAAAACATTTAATAAGAAGCATCGGTGACTCAAACCTTGCACTTAATCTTGAAATAGCTCGACAAGACGGAATGAGTTTTGACAGTTTCGTGTCTCTGGCAGCTAGAGCAGAATCGACACAGAAAGCAACTCGTCATATTAATTTCCAGTCTAAACCTGTTGTTCAGCAATTCTCGCAACGTAATAACAATTTTACCCCTCGAAACGAAATTACCTGCTTTAACTGTGGAAAGCCAGGTCACCTCTCACGTGATTGCTTCTCTAATCGAAATAATCAATATAGGGCGGAAGACAACGTGGCAGCTGTTACTGAAGCCAATAGAACATTTCTGAATACTAAAAATAACATTAATGAGACAAATAGAAACGCAGGTATTTGGCGAGGAAATGGCCAAACCAGAGCAGTCCCACCGTCAAACAATCAACTTAAAAACGGTTGCATAACAATCCACGACGAAATTCCAGAAAATCACGTCAACTCTTGCGGGATAAACATTCTGGAAATTAAAGAAGAGCTTAAGAAAATCCCCGAACAAGAAGCAAGAGCAGAGATAATAAAGAACTCCATAGGCCCTGTAATGTCAATCAAAGTTAACGTTAAAGGTCTACATGCGAAAGGAATGCTAGATGGGGGCGCTCAAATTTCGTTAATAAGTTCAAGTTTTCTTGTGAAACTGCTTAAAGACAAGGGAATTGAATTAAAGAACATAGGATTTTCGAGAGCAAAAACTAAGATTTCTGACGTTAACGGACAAAAGCTAGAATGCCATGGAATTGTTGAGTTGGAAATAAAACGTGAAAACCAAGAGGAAATTAAAACCTGTTTTCACATAACAGATGCCCCTTTTGGCTATGACTTACTTTTCGGCACAAATTCACTAGGCAGATTAGGATTTAAGCTATTGGACATCCCTAATAATGATTTAATTGATTTTGGAAGTGAAAGTTTAGACCAAAATAACGATGCAGAAAGAGTCATTTATAGAACACGGATCCAAACATTAAGTGTTGAATTTGAAGATGTAGGATCCGCTGAAAAAGAACTCAACGTATTTGAAAATAGAGTTGGAAGTGGTAATAAGGAAGAAAATGAAAAGCTGAATAAAATTAAGAAGAAATTTGAAGAAAATCTGAAAGAAGATGAAAAGAAAGTTGAATTTGAGGAAAAAAGTAATGCTTGTGTAAAAGAATTGTCTAAAGATGAAAAGGCTAAGACTGCCAAGAAAAATTGTCGAATATTGAACGGAAACTTTCTTCGAATTAATAATGAACTAAAACGAGAATTGGATACGAAAAGGTCAATTTTTGTAGGAAATCTCCCATATAAAACTGAAGACGAATCGGTTAGGACTCACTTTTCAAAATGTGGAAAAATTACCGGCGTTCGTTTACTTCGAAATAAACAAACTAGACTTTGCAAAGGAGTTGGTTATATTGAATTTATTGACCCAGCTTCAATTAAGAGGGCGTTTGAATTAAATGAATTGCCTTTCGAAGGAAGAAAATTGAGAATTTCTAGAATTTATGAAAAGAAGAAACTGGCAAAGATGAAGGACAAGAATGAAAATTTAAGCTTGAAACCGTCCAATTTGATAAGAGGAATTGAAAAATGTTTAAACTTAAAGGGAGAATTTAAAAGAAAAAATGTTCTTGAAAAAATTCCGAGGACGGAATTATCTAAATACGAGGAGGGGAGAGGTGATGCGGTTGAGAGCCGTTTAATAGCCAAACGTTCGAAAATGAACGGAATTGAAACATTGAAGGCAACCCAAAAGCCAATTCACGAACTA